GTCGATGTTATCGATATGCGAGGCTGGTTCTGGGGCAAACCCGGTTTCAAACTGGCTCGAATTAACCGTCCGATGGCCGGATAATCTACTAATTCCTTAGCAGCACGCCCGGGGCTAATTGAATTTCTAGAAGTATATAAGACACAGTAAATTTCTAGCGGCAGCGTTCCGTCCGTTGGATTGAGTTTCTAGTAGCGTGACGATACTCGAGAGTCGAGTCTGTGGCCGACCCAGCCGAGCCCAATTGAGTATTTAACGGCGCCAAGTTGTTAGTAACGATTTACCGCTATTCACTTCTCCCGGCGTGACAGTTCCACTACATTTTGAACAGAACCGCTTTCGGTTCTCGATCGATTGTCCCGGCGCGTATCGCCGTTCGGTTAAAACTCGATTCTCACGGTGGATTGTTCCGTTTAACGAGCCGACCGATCGTCTTCTACTGTGCCAAACGAAACGCGTAAACAAAATACGAACGAAAATCGATTAAAACCTGTTGGAATTTTTTAATAAAAAAAAAAAAAAAATCACACTTTATACGACAGATTATTCAGAAATTAACTCTTGCTTTCTCCACGCAGTTAATCGACATACGCGCTGTGCTCGTAGCTTTACGCAACGTAACAATAATTTAATAAAAGCTTTTCCACCCGGGGGCAGGATCTTCCTCTCGTTCTCCGCGCGTTATCCGCGGGGTAAGAATCCCATTTCCGATTCCTCAGCAGGAGAAAAAGATTCGCTCGCTTGATTGTCGCATTCACAAGGGGGTAAGTTCGACATCGATATCGACACGCTGTTAATTCCAGCTGTCCTTCCTCTCAGCTTCGCCCGCAAAGCGATAACCTACCCCATTGCTAATGGCGGACATTATTACGAGCAACTTCGGGAACTTACCCCCCCCCCTCCCTCCTTCATCCTCTCCCCACCCTCACATCCGCCCAGCACCCTCTCCACGTGTATAGAACATCGATGCGTACTTATCTCTAACCTGAACGCTCTATCCCCTTTCGAAGTCGTCGTATGATCGAAACGCAGGCTAAAGTAAATTATAGCTGTAGGCGTGTGTATTGATTGCAGTTGAAGCAGAGGACAATTGACAGGTAGCTGCCCCTGATAAATAAACTAAACAGGCGAGAGTAACTAAGTACCGTGTATCGAAGACCTTCGATCTCGCATAGCCGCCAGAGTGTAGAGGTCAGTGGGAGAAATAGCGGAGGTTAGGCTTTTAAAAAATATTCCTTTAGAGTAGTGGGCGGTAGCAGTACATCGATTAGTATTAATTTCAGCTATCTGGTATCGCTCTGAGTTTGAATTTCTGTATTTTTATATATTTTTCAATTTTTCACAAGTGATTGTGATCGATCGACTTTTCCCAAATCTCAAAGATTAACATAATTACTTGAATTCGTATTCTCTCTCTCTCTCTCTCTCTCTCTCTCTCTCTCTCTCTAAATCCGCAATTACATTTCCTACGCCAGAGGAACGAGAAAGGCGTGGAGAAACGGGGGAAGAAAAACGGGGTGGCGTGTTTGTTTGTTAAACACCGTCGAAAACAAGAACAGCGAGGAAAAAGAAGGGAAGCGTTGGGGCAAAAAAAAAANAAAAAAAAGAGGAGGGTGGGGGAAAAAAAAAAAAAAAAAAAAAAACAAAAAAAAAAGGAAGGACGACGTTTTTCCTTTCTCTTTTTTTTCTTTCTTTTTTTTCTTCTTCCTTTTTTCGTTTTAAATCCGCAACTCATTCTATCGGCTAGACCTGTCGATGCATGCCGGAGGCGTGAATTCCGCGAAATTGAAGCTTTGCTCCTCAATTAACCCCCGGAAAAGGGATGATGCCTCACCGGGGAAAAACAATTGATACGATCTCGTTTGCATCGCCCGTTGCACCGTGCAAAACGCATTCAGGTTTAAAATCGTCCCCCTCTCGCCTGCTGCCGGCTCTTTCCAACCCCTGGCCCTCTACCCTTTGCACACCCTCGCAACAGATATTTTCGTCGAACCATAGCCGGTCGCGTAACACGTGGATGAGTCCCGATTCGAAAGTTCCGAGCGCTCCGCGATTCATCGCAATTGATCGCGCCACGACGTGATTGCCTCTACCCTCTTCCAGGCCCCCCTTGCCCCGCTCTTGCGCTGCGCCTCGTGTTTGCCCCGTTCATTCCAAGAACCACCCTCGTTGACATCCACCTTGGCAAGAAGCAGAAAATATTGCACTAATTGAAGATCACAGGGGAAAAAACACACACGCACACGCACAGATGAGCGCGTCTTTTTTCAGATTCTTTTTCCCCGATTTTTAACGTCACTTTACGATTAAACCGCGATGAATTTGAACGCGACGTAGTCGTGATGTAAAGTCGATAAAACTTCTGAAGGTCAAAGGTACTCGTTGTCTTTTTTTTTTTTTTCAGACAACGCATTAATTAATTTAATATTATCGCGACGAGCGATATTTTCGAATGGACCTTTGATATTTTTATCAGCGATGCGTGGTTCGTTCCTCAATTTTGACGCGTCGCGATTCAAGTTTCCGTGGTGTTCGCATAATTTCACGAGTCTCAAATTGCATGTTCCGCTTCGTCGGTCCTGCCCAGACGCAATAACGACAATTCCTGCGATTTGTCGTAAACTTCGACAGAGATATGTCGCGTAGTAGCAAGATTAACATATTGTGAAACATAAGAGCGTTTCAATTTCTTTTCTACGCAATCCCCGCCTGATATCTCGCGGCGGAAACTTTGAATTTGAAGTATTATATGTCGATCGATCGCCAACTTGATGATTGGTGAGAAGATTATGAATATCGAAAGTTTCCTACAACTTTTATCTAAAAAGACGACACGCATGCACGGAGGCATGAGAATGGCGTTTCGTGACGATAGACTGGCCGATGACAACCATCGTAAATTATTAGCGACGCAGGATCGATAATATAGCGATTCTGATGATTTCAATGTTCGTGTTACAACGATTCTATGTAAATTATTTTTTGTATAAATTCTATTTTTTATACAAATTCATCGTGTCTATTTAAGTCCTTCAGGGGCTTATAGTGTCTGTGCAATCTTTATCAGAACTTATTACAACGATAATAAATTTCATAATTCTGTATATAAAGGCAATCAACGCGTGACGAAATCACGTTCAAAGCTGCAAGGATTATCATTAAATTAAACCTGGCCTAATTATTAATATTAACGCAATTTAAATCTATGGAAGTTATCAGAAAGTTTAAATCATCGACATCAGGCATCGTTATAGGTTAATTATGCGCGCGATCGCAATACGCGATTACGGATTTCTCTCGTTCTTTCAGAATATTCAGACTTCGTAATCGTCTGCTAATATCCTCCTCTCAATTTCATGAAATATTCTATTGTATCCTCTTCTCTCTATTTGTTTTTGTTTCGTTGAATTTTATCTTTTTCCTTAAATCTCTTCCATTTTAATCGTTGCTTCAATCTCCTTCTTTCTTTCTTTTTTTTCTTTAGCCAATGTGTGTCTCTAAGCCTCTCCCCCGGTTTTCCTCCCTTCTCCCCCCCTCCCTCTCTCTCTTTCTCTCTCTATCTCTCTCCCTTTGTTTCTCTACCTGATCTGCTATTCATTCTCCTTTTTGCCTGTTTGCCCCTGTCTCTCTCTCCACACCATTCTTTTTCTTCCTCTCCCTCCTCCATGCACCCTTTCTTTCCTGATCGCATTTTCCAACACGTATTCATTGTACCTATTCATACGGAGCCGAATGAAACAGCTAGATGGGACTCGAATTCTCATGCAATTGATTACTTTCCAAGGGGGCGGAATAATAATACTTTTGTTATTGATGCGCGACTCGGCTACGTGTCCGTAGATGTCCGTATTATTCTACAATTACACGGAATAAATTCTCATAGACGGGGATGTTTTATCCGGCTAACCGATACCGCAACCCCTCCTCGCTCGTGCATACCTTTTTGCAAAATTCCTCTGTTACATTAATTCTCGCTTATACACGAGTACGCAATGTGTGATACACGGTTTGACGTAACACACTGGAGATTGACCTGTTGACTCGGATCAGGTGTACAATAATTTACAAGTTGTTGACTCGTTGCCTCATTAAAAAAAAAATTCATCATTCGGAATTTCTATTTTCAGAGTGAAGTAAAATAAATTCGAACAAAGTGCATCAGGTGATTTCTTCTTTTTTCTTCTTCTTCTTTTTTTATCGAAAGTGACACGATAGGAAGAAAATAGACGCCTCGGACGTAATTTAATCCAACGATAATTATATCGAGAGACTCGACGAGATTTAAAGTTATCCCGTTCGGTAAGCGGCCGATATCGATTCGGTACAATCGATTCGATAAAATTAATAAAGAGCTCCTGCTAAGCTTCTTACTCGCTGATAAACGGGCCGCCACCCCCCGAAGCGGAGGACGCGGCGTGCCGGTTCAAGGGGTGGAAAGGAGCGACCAGCCTGGATTCCGTGAATATGATTCTATATTTGTGTCGATGGAACGTAATGTAATTACGTTCATGTTCGCTTCATGACAACTGGAAACCAGGTACACCGTTTGGCGAGCACCGCCGATACTAGCAACGCGGCAACGATGATGCTTTATACAATTAACGAGTCGCCCATTTTATCGACGCTATCGTAAATTAATTAACAAACTTTCGTTCAATTTTCCACTGACAATCGGAAATTCTCGATTTTCGAGATGATTTAGTTATATACTTTGCTTGGTTCCTGTATTGAATTAACTCTAAAGCGAAAATGTGCGCAAGTGTTCAGAAAATATCTGCCCAAAAAAAAAAAAGAAATGAAAAGAATTCTTAATTCTTTGACGGAGAAACAATGATCGATTCGGTGGAACAATCTCATCAACGAAACGAACGTTTGCTTTCAGATCAGTCAGCTGGTCGAGGAAGTGTCCAGGTTACAGCAGAGCCTGCAGCGTCTCCAAGAGACGAGCGCACAGGCGACGGCGCGGCTCGAGGAAGAACTCGAGGCGCGCAGACAGCACATCAACAGACTAGAGAGCAAACTGGAACGACAGAGGGACTATGACGACCTGAAACGCGAGATAAACGCACTAAGGTCGGTCGATCTCTCGCAGATACCAACCGGTGAACCTGGCAAGAGCTTGGAGCATCTTCTAATGGAACGCTCCAAGGCGCTTCAACAGACCGAAAGCTTGAAGCCATCCAATACTCCGGACGCGCTCGGTAAGTCTAGCCAGCGATCCACTCTCCCAAAATCGTTACCTCGATATGCATAACATTCAGGGATCCATCGACTCGCTTCACTATTTTTTTTTACTTGAAACATCACCAACAACGTTAGTAGAGTATTCTTGACGAGAAGTTTAGAAGAAAAGAAAAAGACGACATATGAAGAATCATAAACCGCGACTGCTTTAGATCAGGAATTTCTAGAGAAATGCTTTGTTTTTATCATTCGCTCGGCAGAGGCCAGATTTTAGCTGTACATAAATATATACATACGTTGAGAAATTTTCCTACAATAAAATACATACGCAATATCACCGCTACTAATTCCTGCGCTAAAGTATTCTGATCTTCGATTCCCCGACTCTCTCTCTCTTCGAGGCTACGTCGAAGGGCTCGGTATCGTGTGTAACAGTGGAAAAAGGACACGAGTCACGCAACGCGGACGCTTTTATAATGAACGAGGGATGACTGAAGGAGCTTACCGAGAGAAAAGGAACAACAAAATAACTCTTGCTTGCCATTGTGTTCGCACTTCTTTCTTAACTCTCTCTTTCTCTCTTTCTCTCTCTTCATCTATATCCACTCTTCCTGTATTTATTCTTTCTCCCCGCTCCCCCCTACTTAACTCGTTTCTCTCTTACACCAATGTTCCATCATCGTGGCTCAGTTTTATCACTTTCATCACTTTTTATTATTTTTCTCTGTCGCTGCCGCGCTTCCGTCTTTTTTCTTTTTATCCCTTTTCTTCTTCTTCTTTTCCTTCTTCGTTCTTACATCTTCGTATTCTTCTTCTTCTTCTTCGTCTTCTTCTTCTTTTCTCAAATACTATCTCTTCTCTTCCGTTCTGAAGCCTACCTTCTTTCGGGATATCCTCCACCGCTTAGATTGCACATTTTTCGAGCTACTCTCTCGCTGTGGTGCGTGAATCAACGTGCCCCGTTGTAGATGGTACTAACGTAACCGACGACACCCGCACGATATATATATATATATATATATATATAAACATACATGTGTACACCCCGAGAAATAAATCCGCGTTCCTTACCAAAACACCATCTCGGACATCTCCGACTCATGCTCCCCTTCAAGTCCAGCATACGTACGTTGCCCGGAGACTACTTTCTCCCCCTACCCCAAAACCACGAGCATCTGCACGCTGGGAAATACGCAAACCTCGTACACGCAAATTTCTGGACGCGCTCGGTACATATACGGATATCTGTCCATAGGTCAAAGCATTTGACGCTACCGCGAGACAAACTTTATCACACCGAATCGATCAAAGGCAACGAGGAAAGAACGACAGAGCGAGAGAGAAGCCGCGAAGAAAAATCGCGAATGCGTCGTTTACGGGCTTGTTTACCACCCTCTCTCCGATCTTTCGCGACTTTGGAACATCCCTTTGAAAGGACCAAGCGCATCCTTCTCTTCGAACGAGAGACAGAAGGACAATTAAAGATTAGAATTGAAAGTAAAATGTCTAGATTGCAAGATTTCACTGACACGCGACACTTTCCCTCTCGTTGGGCCACGTTGCTCGTCGTGCTTGTATGCGCCACGTGGACCACGCGACGAAGCGTCGAAAAAGAGAGTCTCGGTCCGTCGTTTATCGTTCAGGGGAGGGGGGCTTGGGATGCCAGTTGTCGCGACAAACGACACGACAAAAAAGAAAGAAAAAGAAGAAAAAAGAAACGAACGACTAGTCTGATATCAGAGTCAAAAAAGTACGAAGTTCGGGTAAGATGCTTCGAAAAATTCCGGTGTTCGCGAGACCGTTCTGTCTGACGATTGACTTGTCGCATTTAGATCGCGTGTGTGAGCTCGTGTTGACGCGGTCCCTTGTGTTTTTGGTGGTTGCAGGTGGACTGTCGTCACCCCTGCAGCGCGCCTCAACCGCCTCGCCCCACGGGGTCGGGGGTGTGCCGCCTTCGTCCCACGTGTCCTCCCAGCAACCACCGCCACCGCCCCCGACAGCAGTCTCCCTACCTCCGCGTTCCACTCCGACACCGTCTTCGGCCACCTCGACGACGTCCAGCCTCCTCTTCCCACCTCCTCTGCAAAACGTTGAAACCTTCGGCTCCTTCCTCGGCGAAGAGATCGTCGCCAACTGGAGGCGGACGTTGGAGAGGTCCATCATGAATCAACAACAGCAGCAGCAGCAGCAGCAGCAGCAACAGCAGCAACAGCAGCAGCAGCAGCAACAACAGCAGCAGCAGCAACAGTCGACTTCGTTGAGTCAATTGTCGCAACAGCAGCAGCAACAGTTACAGCAAGTCCAACCGCTGATCGGCTTACATCCACCGACAGCCAGCAGTAGTCTAAATCATCTTCCGTCGCCAACGGATCCGTCGTCCAGCTCCAACACGCCAGCCAAATCCAACACCCCGTTAGGAACCACTCCGTTGAGTTGCCTCGATGCCGAGAAGGCCCCGACGCCGGTGTCCGGCCACGAAACGCCAGCACCGCCGACACCGTCGTCTACCACCGCGTTAACGTCACCGCCGAGTTTTCAACCGCCGACCTCGATGATCGAGACGACCACCTCCTCGGCCTCCGTCAACGGCGGAAGCGTAACGCCCGCCGTTCCGACAGCCCCGCCGCCAAAGAGCCCAGCGGACCAGGAATCCTGTCACAACAACAACAACAACAGCCACCATCTGGCGAACAACAACATCGGAGGGTTAAGCGTGCTGGACACGCTGAAGAGTCCGTTTCGATTCGACGAGAGGACGCATCCGTTTCGATTCAGCGACGAGTTCGGGGCTGCCGGTATGGTCGGCAGACTCGGCGAGTCCCTCATCCCGAAAGGTGACCCGATGGAGGCCAGGCTACAGGAGATGCTACGGTACAACATCGACAAGTACGCGTCGCAGAATTTGGACACGCTGCACATAGCCAGAAGGGTCAGGGAGCTGCTGTCGATACACAACATCGGTCAAAGACTGTTTGCCAAGTACGTGCTCGGTCTCAGCCAAGGAACGGTGAGCGAGTTGCTGAGCAAACCGAAGCCGTGGGACAAGCTGACGGAAAAAGGCCGCGACAGCTACAGGAAGATGCACGGCTGGGCGTGCGACGAAAACGCTGTAATGCTGCTTAAATCTCTGATACCCAAGAAAGGTGAGTACCTGCCAACTGTACGACAGCTCTGTGTCTCTCCAGTTTTCCCCCCAATCCGACCCGTTGTTTCGTTGTTTTCTCTGAACACGCATATACATATATTTGTATCACGATCTTTATCAAGCGGTGAAGACCAGACGTCTGCCAGAAGGCGAGACAGAGTTAGATGTTACACTTGGCGTTTCGTTCTCCTCATCTTCCAGGCTATACTGTGTTTTACATGTGTGGTGTAACCAACGCTTCTGGTAACATGGCTGAGATTCTCATATTCTCCGATCAAAGAATTCCGGAAGTTGTAGGAACGATCTGCGAATGTATGCGCACACGGAGGATACGAGCGACTGCTTCCGCCTGTTCTTTGATTGTTGAGACCGGTGGTCATCAACAAGTTTGGCGACACGCGACGAGAGAAAATATGTACGAATTCGTTTTGGTTCTTTTTTTTTTCTTTTCTCTGAAGATTCTCGCGAGAACAGAGGTGTCTCGAATGCTTAACCTGTTGATGATATCACCGACCGAGATCGACTAAATGGCTCGTTTCGGCTTCGCCGCTGACAAATTGACCGTTTGACTCCTACGATATCTTTTCTGCCTCGCACTGCCAATAATCTGTTCTGCCGAACCACTAACCATCAAACTGTCAGTTAACTATTTTTTTTTTTTTTTTACTTCGGCTGTCTAATACGGGTGTTAATGGTATTTCTACTTGGTCTAACTTCACCGTGGAACAAGGACACGTATTATAACCCTCGAACCGGAGGTCGCATCCCTCTCGATGAAACATAGAGAATCAATTGTCAATGAGGTAGCACATGCGTTGGTGACGTCGTGAGCTTTCACTTCTCCATTTTTCAGGAACCTTTGAAATTTACGAAATCTCGCGTTCTTGCGTTACATTTCTGTATATCGTTCATACACAGCATTTAGCAAGGTAATACACATCTTGGATAATCGTACTGATTTCTTACAATAAATATTCATCGCTATCGATTAATATTTCGTGATTCTGCGAACGAAGAATCGAGTCTGAAATTAGTCTTGAAATTGAAAAGGATATAGATTCTTTTCTCGAGCAGGTCGACGTACGAATACTTGCATTCGATAGGTCGTGACCTTTCGTCGAGTTTAGACAAGATTAAAAATAGCGACATCCATTTACGCGGATGTCGAATTTGATGTACAAGAGTACGTACATATGTATATAGACCAGCTATTTTTATCAGGGAAAATCGCCCAAGGTTGTATGTCTTAAAACTTACAAATTTAGGTATTCCAGGCATTTCTACGTTATAGAGAACTGCGCAACAGGCTGTTTCGCCTCCACGGAGTGCCACGTGCTGAAACTCAGCTGCAATAGGCGTTTCTCACCCAAATGTTATTACAACTGCGTGATAGAACGCCGACGAAGCGAAAATTAATATTTCGTGCAAAACGTTTCTACACGTTCAAACCTATTATCGTTTCGTCGCAATTTAAAGGTCAAAGTAGAATTTCCACAACTGACAATCTTTTTCCTTTACACCTACCACTTAAAGCAACAACGACGATTAAACACCGCACAAACGAATCCGTAGACACTCTTCGACTTTCGATCACAGTGAATTTTATTTGAAAATTAACTATCAATGAAATTAAATTAGATACCTAAGTCAAGTCATCAGAAGCTGATCGACGTCAATTTCATAACGTCGATTAATTTCCACAGAACCGTTTAAAAGGAGATCGATTGTTTGCTGTTAACTGATAATCTTGGATCTGAAAAGACGATTCGAGGGGAAGAGGGTGGAGGGGGGAGGGAGCAGATTACGCAAAACAGTCGGAAGATGACGTTCGATTTCGTCTTTAATAGTCTTAATTCAATTACTATTTACTGCCAGTTGGCGTACCACGCTTCGCTATCGATTGTTCGCTGCGTTTGGCAGCCATATTGTTTAGACTAATAGCTCTTGGGAGTAGAGAAACTGGGGATGACTTCTAGGCAAGGGTTTCAGAAAGGGTTTCCGGAGAGAAAGGAGAACGAGAGAGGGGAGCGAAAGGGGAACAAGGGGTCCAAGAGAGAAAGGACAGATGCCGGTTTTAGATACCGCTGCATTTATCGCAAAAGGTAATTTACACTTTCGTTCGATCGCCAGGAGATCGCGAAGTCATTCTGCAAACGGATTCTCATCGCGTTTCGATTCGATTCGATCTATTAATTGACTCGAAATCGCGATCAAATTGCCAGATTTTGGGCCGATGCTTCCAGTTTATTATCGTTTCAAGGACGTTCAGAAACTGAGAGAAACAAAAATCCTTTAGATATTTTTGATCCATTCTGGAGAAAATCGCGAATTATTTACATTTATTCGTGTTGTTAATGTTACGTATACTGTCGTTTGTATCATTTATTTAATAAAGCTAGACACTGTCCTAATGATGTTTAATGTACCAAACTACAGTTTGACCTCTCAGTTGCTCTCTCGAGTTGATCGGCGTTAAACAAATAACTTATAAGCAGAGAATAAACGAGAGAATGACACACTATTTCCCTTATTTTACCGCGAGTTTTCCTAAAGTGGAGCAACAACGAGCAAATCTTCAAAGGATTTCTTTCCCTCTTAGTTTATCAATTTTCCAATTAACGCATCTCAAACTCCAAACACTTTACTTGACAATTATAGTTAATTTCGCACTGTCGTAAAAATTTTGTAAGAAGCGAAATTATTAATCATAATACATCTCTTGATTTTCTTTCAAAAAAAAGAAAAAAAAAAATCCCCCGTCCTATAGATCAAAAATTACAAAAAAAAAGAAAAAGGAAATGAAAGAAAACCTCCGCTAAAAGTCTCGATACGCTCGTATTAGGATGTTCTCTCTCTCGGTAGCCGTGTTACGCCGATTCTTCATATTTTTCCATTCGAAGCAACGACGAAAACCGCGAAACGTCCGCCGGGTCGGTGGGAAAACAATGCGAACATTCATTACCGGCGCGGCGGTGGTGGACGCGCGCGTCGAAATCCGTGTCCCGTCATAAAGCATTCGCGTTCCGCCGGTGGCCGATGGACATGAATCACTCTCCGGGATACGTGGTCCCTTGTTTTTTATCGTTACAAGGTCACGTTCGTCGAACCACTGTTCGGTCTCACTTATTAAACCATCCGCCGCTCCTTCCCTCGTGCCTCGCTCGGCTTGTTCGCCACCTATCATTCGGGCCGCGTCGATCGACGCCGTTCTCCCCTTTTGCTTTCTGTAAATATTATTTAATACCGATGGCGGCGGCACGGCAGAGGATGTGCGGACGCCATAATGGGACATCCGCCTCCGACGCGCGAAATATCAAACGACCGCGTATAAAACACACGGCGAACCGCACACGGTCGAAATATGCGTGTATATACGACTGGACGAGGGAAGGGGGCAAGGGAAAAGGTCGACGCAGACGTCGTGCATCAATGGATTGTCGGTTTCCGTCGAAACGCCGACAACGATAATCATGTGCATAGCGCGGCGAAAGAGAAAAAAAAAAAAGAAGGAGAAAGGGAAGCGGCGAGAGAAAGAGGATCGCGCGGGAAAAAAGTGGGAAGGATGCGGGGGGGGGGGGAGAGAAATAAAAAAGGAAAATGGCAACTCGCGAGCTGCGATGTGACTGTCTGGAAAGTTGCAGCTACGCGCGAGAACCTTCGTAACGCGTACGTAACATTCATAGCTGCCTTGAACCTTCGCGAAATATTGGTAATGCTGTTGGTGGAATTTTGGGAAAGTTAGGTCTTCATTAGGAGAACCTTCTCTCGCGGAGAGTTTAAATTAACGCAACGCAATCGTTTCGTCAAAAGTTCCTGTCGATCTGTCATTTGTTTTTAACACTAGAACTACCAAAGTGATCGAAATGATCAATTTATAATTTCTGTTAAACATTTTATAGACACGAAACAATGTATGTTTAAAAATAATTAAATAATTTTTCGTAAAAACATATGAATAGAATGCTTGTACATTCCACTGTGTCATAAAGTTTCTCTATTTTCCTCGTCTTCAATGTCTCAGTGTGTGATGAAAATTTTACGCTGTAATTTCTGGTTGGCAGTTCTAGTGTTAATCGTAATCGACAAAGTGGAGTAAACTAGAAATTAGAAGTCAGAATAAGTTGATAAATGAGTGGATCGACAAGCGCGCCAAACTTTATCGATATTACACAGCGATCATCATCAATGATATTGAGAAAAAAAATGTGATCTCGTCGTTGCTTCGACAAACATTTCAATCGCTAATTACGTATTGCACCAACATTTTGCTCACGATCACAATGAGCTCTTTGTGCCACGAACGAGTCGTCGGGCACAAGGTTTCTCGATTGAATGAAACTCGTGCATTGCGATGAATTGTTCGAAAATTCCATAATCGGTGGCGATTTATGGGTAAAAATCAATGTCTTTATCTCGGTTTGAAAGGACGACGCTTCAAACGTAATAAATATATTCTTGATGGATTTAATGCGAGGCCTGATACAAAGAATATTTCCAACGGTTAGTTGGCCCCTCTACCAGCGTTTTAATAAATAGTCGATTTGCAGGGGATTCGCAGTTAATTAATTAGTTAATTAAACGTCTGCCTTGATTGCATTCCATCCTCCATTTACAATCGTAAATCGTGTTGCAAGGGAAACGAACGATTCAAGTACGGACGACGTCAGATTGAGAAGGTTCGGGAGAAAAGAAAATTACAAGAACCAAGTGACTTCTTTTTTGTGCGTCGGTAATAATAAAGTACACCTATATATATATATCGAGAGTCATTGACGAAGAACTTTTCTATAATAACGATTTTGCAACGTGAGAAACGCTATCTGGGAACAAACATTTTAACAGTTATAAATAAATATTTGCCGAACTGTATCGCAAAAATCGCACGAACTTTGCTAATCCTGTGACAAATATACCTGGATCTTGGCCCGCTGCTCAACGAAGCGCGCTCAGATACCATTTATTATTGCCCGTGAGCGATGCAACACAATTGATCTAAGC